TTTGACTAGGGTCGGCTCTAGTCCAAAATTGAAAATGTATTTCCTACTTGGTTCTTTGCTCAAAAAAATTTTAGGATGTTTTATTTGTATTTGTTTTTAAGCACTTGAATATTTATGCAAAGTTTCAATCCATTTTTGTAAACCCTCGAAGAAAAAAGTGACAAAATTGATTTTGACTAGGGTCGGCTCTAGTCCAAAATTGAAAATGTATTTCCTACTTGGTTCTTTGCTCAAAAAAATTTTAGGATGTTTTATTTGTATTTGTTTTAAGCACTAGAATATTTGTGCAAAGTTTCAATCCATTTGGAAAAACCCTCAAAGAAAAAAGTGACAAAATTGATTTTGACTAGGGTCGGCTCTAGTCCAAAATTGAAAATGTATTTCCTACTTGGTTCTTTGCTCAAAAAAATTTTAAGATGATTTATTTGTATTTGTTAAAGCACTAGAATATTTATGCAAAGTTTCAATCCATTTGGATAAACCCTCAAAGAAAAAAGTGACAAAATTGATTTTGACTAGGGTCGGCTCTAGTCCAAAATTGAAAATGTATTTCCTTCTTGGTTCTTTGCTCAAAAAAATTTTAGGATGTTTTATTTGTATTTGTTTTTAAGCACTTGAATATTTATGCAAAGTTTCAATCCATTTTTGTAAACCCTCGAAGAAAAAAGTGACAAAATTGATTTTGACTAGGGTCGCCCCTAGTCCAAAATTGAAAATGTATTTCCTACTTGGTTCTTTGCTCAAAAAAATTTTAGGATGTTTTATTTGTATTTGTTTTAAGCACTAGAATATTTATGCAAAGTTTCAATCCATTTTTATAAACCCTCGAAGAAAAAAGTGACAAAATTGATTTTGACTAGGGTCACCCCTAGTCCAAAATTGAAAATGTATTTCCTACTTGGTTCTTTGCTCAAAAAAATTTTAAGATGATTTATTTGTATTTGTTAAAGCACTAGAATATTTATGCAAAGTTTCAATCCATTTGGATAAACCCTCAAAGAAAAAAGTGACAAAATTGATTTTGACTAGGGTCGGCTCTAGTCCAAAATTGAAAATGTATTTCCTACTTGGTTCTTTGCTCAAAAAAATTTTAAGATGATTTATTTGTATTTGTTAAAGCACTAGAATATTTATGCAAAGTTTCAATCCATTTGGATAAACCCTCAAAGAAAAAAGTGACAAAATTGATTTTGACTAGGGTCGGCTCTAGTCCAAAATTGAAAATGTATTTCCTTCTTGGTTCTTTGCTCAAAAAAATTTTAGGATGTTTTATTTGTATTTGTTTTTAAGCACTTGAATATTTATGCAAAGTTTCAATCCATTTTTGTAAACCCTCGAAGAAAAAAGTGACAAAATTGATTTTGACTAGGGTCGCCCCTAGTCCAAAATTGAAAATGTATTTCCTACTTGGTTCTTTGCTCAAAAAAATTTTAGGATGTTTTATTTGTATTTGTTTTAAGCACTAGAATATTTGTGCAAAGTTTCAATCCATTTTGATAAACCCTCAAAGAAAAAAGTGACAAAATTGATTTTGACTAGGGTCGGCTCTAGTCCAAAATTGAAAATGTATTTCCTACTTGGTTCTTTGCTCAAAAAAATTTTAAGATGATTTATTTGTATTTGTTAAAGCACTAGAATATTTATGCAAAGTTTCAATCCATTTGGATAAACCCTCAAAGAAAAAAGTGACAAAATTGATTTTGACTAGGGTCGGCTCTAGTCCAAAATTGAAAATGTATTTCCTTCTTGGTTCTTTGCTCAAAAAAATTTTAGGATGTTTTATTTGTGTTTGTTTTTAAGCACTTGAATATTTATGCAAAGTTTCAATCCATTTTTGTAAACCCTCGAAGAAAAAAGTGACAAAATTGATTTTGACTAGGGTCGCCCCTAGTCCAAAATTGAAAATGTATTTCCTACTTGGTTCTTTGCTCAAAAAAATTTTAGGATGTTTTATTTGTATTTGTTTTAAGCACTAGAATATTTGTGCAAAGTTTCAATCCATTTGGAAAAACCCTCAAAGAAAAAAGTGACAAAATTGATTTTGACTAGGGTCGGCTCTAGTCCAAAATTGAAAATGTATTTCCTACTTGGTTCTTTGCTCAAAAAAATTTTAAGATGATTTATTTGTATTTGTTAAAGCACTAGAATATTTATGCAAAGTTTCAATCCATTTGGATAAACCCTCAAAGAAAAAAGTGACAAAATTGATTTTGACTAGGGTCGGCTCTAGTCCAAAATTGAAAATGTATTTCCTACTTGGTTCTTTGCTCAAAAAAATTTTAGGATGTTTTATTTGTATTTGTTTTTAAGCACTTGAATATTTATGCAAAGTTTCAATCCATTTTTGTAAACCCTCGAAGAAAAAAGTGACAAAATTGATTTTGACTAGGGTCGCCTCTAGTCCAAAATTGAAAATTGATTTCTATGGTGTACTTTGGTCAAAAAAATTTTTTGGATGTTTTATTTGAATTGACATAATTCTGACATAAATCATATATCAATATTACTTTTTGTAATGCATAGCTTAAAAAAAAACGAAATCTAAAATTTCGACTACCCCATCTGAATTTTGTTCATACTCTTCACTGTGGAAACCAAAAAACAAATTCTTTATCTTATTTACGAGAAAATGTGGTTCAAATAAGTGTGAAGTATGGCCGAGATTTGGACCAAAATCAGCTATACTGGTTCATAGTGTTCCCGAGGGTGACAAAATTCAAACTAAATGTTTTTGTAGCTGACATAATTATGACATAAATTAGGTATATCTTTTGAACTGTGTCGATATGGGTCTCGGCTGTACTTCACGCCCTCCCTTAAAACTTATGCTGAGCAAATCTTGGTCTATCCATAAGACTTTTGATGGTACGGTGTGAATATATCCGCATTGGGTTTCTACCCGATACACTAGTTTGTGTATCTTTTGGCGGGAAGCTTTCAAAAACTGACTGACCGTTAGAAAATTTGAATCTCAAAAAACCGTTAAATGATAAACTTTTTATGTATGGAAATTCATTGGAACAAATTATTAATTATACTATAATTAATGTTTTCGTAGTGCAACTTTTAAAGGCAAAATTTCAAATTATTTATTGACCGTTAAATAATAAAGCCATTCTATATAAGCATTCATTGTAATTATTTATTAATTACACTAAAATTGATGATCTTGTAATCTTCTAATGATCTGTAAATGAACGCAAAATAAATAGATAATCAAATACTGATCGCTTACACAAAAATGCGCTTAAGTCCCTCGATCAATAAAACGAGGACTTCTGTAATTTTTTTTTGCATTCGCTGCTATTTGATAATGCGGACAATAAAATTTTTGTTTTCTATAATTCCTCTTTGTTTCTTAGAATCTCAAAAAACCCTTACATGACAAAAAAAATATATCATTTTTTTTGTAGTTTTTTGTGATTTATTTCCAACTGGATCTTAGTTTTTAATTCCAGATAAGACTAAAACTCTACTGGATCTTGGTTTTTAGTTCAAATCATGATATTTTTCCTTAATTTACTGATCAACGCGATGATTTACAATAATTCCCACTCAACTTGTTTTGATAAGTAGACACAACATTTTGGGACGTGGAGAAAGGACAACTTTTTTAAAATCCACAAAATAAATTTTATTAGAGCAAGAAATAAAGATTTAAGTATTAGTTTAATATAACTCACTACACGTGTTACTAGTTTTATATGAGTGTAGAAAAATACCAAAAATTGTCCCCTGTTCATGCATAGACAATTTTACTCAATTTATAAAAATCAAGATTAAAATTTTTCTTTTTTTACTTCCGCAAAGTGTTTTTGTCTTACTTTTATTTCACTTTTCATACATTATCGGGAATCCCGCAAAATTTCAAGCCCGATCCCAAAAATGTATCGGTACCGGAATGTCAAGAAAGCATAGCTCACGACTTGTATGGTTTTCCCACAACTCAAACTGCAACAACTTTTATACAACTTAATATTTTTCACTGTTGTTATCAGTTTAGTGGAATTCAGTCAATACTTTCCAATGATGTATAATACTTGATAGTCAACTAAAATCTTGGTCTTTATAGTTCGTGATCGACCCCAAATGAGAAAAAATGTCAAAAACACCATTTCTAGAAATGTCACTTAAAGGTAAAATGTTTTAAACGGAAATATATTTTTTTTTTCGTAGTAGATTTAATACTGAACTTTAACAGTCATAAAACAAGTTTATTTCAAAATATCACTTCAGTTGGTACATTGGATCACACAAATACATGCTTCATTAGAATATGAAGCTAAAATATATATTTGGGATTTAATGTATGCAATTTAATTAATTCCTTTTTTTTAACACAAGTAAGAGTAGCCTTTTTACAGTTTTTAATATTTTATTAGAAGCGTATTTAAAGTGCTTAGATTTAAGAATCATGTCGGATTAAACTTAAGACATTTGTAGCTTAGCAGTGCGTGCCCCCCTCCCTTAAACGTTTTTAATCTCAGCGAGAGCACGTCCTAAAACGCTTAAGAGGGGGACAATACCCTCCTGGCTACGCGCCTGGAGCCTAGTATTAAAGTTGTAGCCAGAAATCGAAATCGACGATCGATGTCGTAGTTGACTCCATACAAAATTTCATCGACTTAGAGCTCTGGTTTTAGTTTCTGCACAAATGGCTAATATTCTACGTTAACTGAACACTGGCTACCTTTTTTCAATGGCTGAGGTAAGATTTAAGGTCTATCCAGCGTTAACTCCTTATTAATCTAAGGAGGAGAAGGAGTAGTTTTAAAATTCGACTTCTATAATTCAATTTAGCTACTAAAGCTATTTTTCGATATTCCATGAGTTTGATTGAAAAGACAAAATGAATATTAATCTAAATTTTATCGTTTAAATAACTGTTCCACGAATACCTGCTATTCGTTTGTAAAAAATTGTAATGACAGAGACAAGAATATTGAAACAAATCATTTTACAGACATTTGAGTATTTATTTTAGTTCTCTTTTAAGTCTCATCATGAGTAGTTCAGATAAATTTAAACCTCCAAACGAAAACTGTGAATATGTCGTGTGTGTTAAAGACGCATATAAGTTCTATGGAACTAAAAATAAGAATTTCGGCGTCCTTTGTGGTCTTAATATGTCAATTAAGCGAAATTCAATGTACGTAAATCAATAAATAGACTGTAGAATGTGTTAATAAAAAAAAATAAAATTTTAAAAGCAGCTATGCCTTGATAGGAGCATCAGGTGCAGGAAAAACAACATTAATTAAAAGTATAATTGGAATTGAAACCTTACAAAGTGGTGTAATCGAATTATCACAAACTTATAGGATACATGCCCCAGGAAATAGCTGTACTTCAAAAATTTACAGCAAAAGAGACGCTCAACTTTTTTGGAGTTCTCAATGGAGTTGATGCTAATAAAATTAAGGAACGAACAAATTTTCTCTCCTCTTTACTTGAATTTTCAGACGATGATAAATTAATTGAAAATTGTAGCGGTGGAGAACAGCGAAGAATTTCTTTTGCGTGTGCTTTGATGCATGAACCTAGACTGTTGATCTTAGATGAGTAAGTTGGGATCTTATTTTAATTGAATTTTTTTGAAAATTAGTTTAAATTGCAAATTAATTTAAGAATTAAAAACTTACATCAATTTTAAATCACTTAAATTTCTCCAACTTTTGGGCAATAATTTTTTTTGGATTTTTGGTTAAAGGTTACAATTTGAAGTGATTGAAAGGGTTTAAAAAGTTTTGTGAAGGAGTCCATTTAAGTAGGATTTTTAAATTTTGTGACAGTTTTAAGAAAAATAAATTTTTGGATGAAAATAATGTGTCGATGGGGGAAGAAACAGTCTGGAGCCGTTCACTTATTACGTTCGCATTTATTTTAGGGGGGGGGGGGGGGGGGGTGTTGAAAAATTGTAACAAATAACGTAATAAGTGAACAGCCCCTCTCAAATCGGGTAGTTTACTTAAAACTAAGCGACAACCACTTGGCACGTGTTTAGCATCAAATGATATAAACTAAATTATTTTTAGACCAACAGTTGGTGTTGATCCAATTTTAAGAAACAAAATATGGGTTTTTCTGCAAACGCTTACAACCACAACAGATACAACTGTAATAATATCAACACAATACATTCAGGAGACAGTAAATGCAACTAACATTGGATTTATACGAAACGGAACTCTGTTAGTTGAAGAAGAACCACAAAAAATCATTCAAAATCTTCGGGTTGACAATCTTGAGGAAGCTTTTTTCAAATTAAGTTTACAACAAACTGAACAAAAAGATGTGAAGAGAAAATGTTTAAAATTAATACAGCCTGATAGTAATAAGAAGATAATTAAGCAGAATCCAATCGATTTATCGCTAGACAGATTTTTTGCATTACTATCAAAAAATCTTATTCATCAAAGAAGAAATATACTGTAAGTCATAAAAAGTATTTTGAAAATGACATTCTGGATATTCGATCATCGACAAAAAAATGTTTTGAAGTTCAAAAAACCCCTGTTCCTTGACTTTTCTTCTCCTTAATTCCATAAATATTATTTGTTCAACAATTCTGACAAAATTTTTATTTATTTCAGAATGTGTATGTTCTCGTGTTTTATGCCTTTAATAATGATAGCTTCAGTTTATTCGTATGGAAGATATCCAGTTGATCTTAAATTTGGTGTTATAAATTTCGAGAATTTAAATTCTGAAGCAAGCAGTTGTCTACAAACCAATGTTATCCTCAAAGATTTATCAAGTGAAGATATGGTAATTAAGTTTGTTATTTGACTTTTAATTAACTCCATACAACTCAAATTTTTTCCAACTAGAGTCCATATTGCAATTTGCATAATATATCCTGTAGATATGTCATGGAACTTCAAGATGTGATTGATATAAAAAAATCTTACAAATCGTTTGAAGATGCTAAAGATGATGTTCTTAATGGAAATATTTATGGATTTATATTGATCGGGAAAGATTTTTCGAATCATCTGCAGACAAGACTCAACAACGGAATGGATTTAACATACAACATAAGCGATGACGATGTCATCAGTGCGTACTTAGACCAAACAAACTATCAAATAGCAAACTTCATGAAAAAGACTTTATATGAATCATATGACAAATTTACTGAGAAACTAATAACAGACTGTAGACGAGATTACAACACAGAAACACTTCCAATGAAAGTCGTAGCTATGTTTGGGAAATTAAATGATGAATTTCGAAAAACAATGAGTGTTGGAGGTGTTATTGTGTAAGTTTACATCGCTAGAGGTTTTTGAGCTTTATTTCCCTTTTGAATTTGTTCATTTTTATTTGTTCTGTTTTTCAGCTACTGCTTCTTCCTTTCATCTTCACTCTCAGTATCTGCCTTTATTGAAGATCAAGCAGAAGGAATCATAGAAAGAGTACTAATAGCTGGCACACAACCATTAGAGATAGTCTTATCTCATTTGACATCATCGACTTTTATTATAATCATTCATTACATCCAGTATTATGTATTCCTTATGTTTATTTTTAAAGATGACTTGTATGGAAATCACATTTGGGCAAGCACAACAATTATTCTCGTTGGTATTGCCGGAGTTGTTTATGGGCTGTCTATATCAACTCTTACTAAGTCACCAGTTGTTGGAATGTTTTGCTCATCTTCAATATTTCTTCCAGTTCTAGCGATAGGAGGTAAGCTTTATTGATAAGGAGTTTTTCATTAATGAGGTCCATTGGATACTTTTATGAACGACCTACAATTTATTTGCAAATAACTTCTTTGACAATTTTATATTTTCATTTCAGGAGTCATATGGCCACTTGACGGAGTTGTATTTTATTTGAGATATGTATCATATTTACTTCCATTCACAATGCCAACATTAGCGTTGACAGGAATAATGTATAAAGGTTACACAATACTGCATCCTGTCGTATCAATGTCTTATTTAGTGCTTATAATTTGGATTCTTGGATGCCTTTTTATATGTTTTTCTAAACTAAAGGTTAAAAGATAAAACATTTGAGGCGAATACGCGTAGACTAAGGTTTTTTCGTGGATTTGATTACTAAAGTTGACTTGAGTCCATACAAAATCTTATTAAGCTTTGTAAACTGTTCACGAGCGTTTAATTATTAAGCAACATAATAATAAGATCAGACCTCAAAAAGGAATCATAAAAATTATAATAAACTGTTTTAGCAGAGCTCGAAGTCAACTCGAGTTAACTCATTTTTCAGAGTCAACTCCGAGTCGAATTGACTTGAAATTCTATCGACTTCGAGCTTTGTATTTTAGCCTTAACTAACCCACCTTCTGTTACGGAACAAGCGAACGACCTCTTAACGAAATAAATTAAAATTTTTGTATGGAATTGATTTAATATTAATTTAACTTTAATTATGTACGCAAATTTGGAGTGGATAAAATTTGGTTTAAAATAGGTTTAAATAAGTTCTTAATAAAATATTTAAAATATTAAACTCGATTTTTTTTTTGATAACGAATAAATGAAATTTAATGAAGATAAGAAAAAAAACAACCAGCTTTATTGTGTAGACGAATATTGGATGATGTTGATATTGATCTACAAAAGAGATTTTGTTGATATAAAGCAGTGGTAACCAACCTTTTTAATGCGGTACACCTTGATGGTAAGCTAAGACCAAAACTGCACAAATCAAATTCTGTTTTTTTTTTTTCACGGTACATGGATTTGACATCACTGATATAAAGTATTTACGTAGCCAGGAGGATCCTTAAATGCACAAACATATTCTTTGTTGATCAAAAATTTAAATTTATTTTCACATTTTTTTTAAAAAAATTCAAATGACTTTTTTAAATGAAAGCTTTTATAAATCCTGATTACGATCCTGATGTAAAGTCACACATAAAGTTTCATTGTGGACAAAATAAAACATTATATCTTTTGTTCAATGCATCCAAACATTATCGCATTTCAAAAGGCAGCGAATTCTTCAACATTGCAGCTCTCTTACATAGGACAATAAAATTTTATTTATCATAGCTTGTAGTTTTGCTGTATATTAACAATGCATTGAATAGAAAGCAGACGAACCGTATTTTTCACCTCAAAGGACATGAATATAAAATGATGATGAATACAATGTAACACAATCCATTCCAATAGTCACAATAGTTAGATGGTTGGCTAGAGCGCTATTAAAATTTGCGTGAAAAATGCTTGAAAAAAAAATCTCAATTGGTATTCATTCTCTACAGCAACACTACAAATGCAATGCATCATTATAAAAACTACTTTTTGGTCTATGATGCAATGAATTTCAATGGTAATTCACGGAAAAACAGCTCCTATAAGTGCCATTGTGGGTACTGAAATTAATGAATGAAGGCTGTGTACTTGTATGGGAAGCATTGCATGAATATTCCGTAATTAACGATGAAGGATTGCTCTTAAAAAACTGAAAAATTGAAATGCATAATGAATTGTCAAGTGCGTAATTTAGCTGATCCGAGAAATTGGTGACTTTGCTGTTCAAATTTTTGTAATTATTATCAATTTTAGAGTTCATTCACTATTAAAATACTCTTTGTTACTTTTACGGCTAAGCAATTAAGAAAATCTATTCAAAAAACTCAATTATCTAATATTTTGGCAAAAACAATTGCTAATTCCATCAGCTACTCAAAATTCAAACATAATTCACAAGAATATAATTCCCACGTTCAACCCAACATGGAATTTAGCCTCAATTTCCAAAAAAACCAAAATGGGATTTCATACCAATTAAATTCTCACATATAATCATTTCGTATGCTAAAAACATTCAAATGTTGCAATTTATTCTCCTTTTATCTCCCACAGTTCGCACACAAACACACACATCATGATATTCCTCTTGCAATGGCTGTACTACAAAATTAGAGCAAAAATATCAGAATTTATGTTCTTGACAATTGACAATTTTCATCGCGGATTAATTTTCAAATACGGTAATTTGTATTGAATACAAATTGGCATTTTGTGAATATTTTGAAATCGAATGGAAATTGAAGAATAATATGTTTTTGAAGTAAGTAAAATTAATCTTTTCTTCATGTTGGTGAAAGCTTCGAGTCTATTTGGAAATGTGGTTTCTATCGTCGTTTGGGAAATTTGTTGATAATTTTGTAGTTTTGCGGAGATTAAAATTTTAAATCTAACATCAATTATATATAAATTATTATTAAAGTCTATAAGAACAGGGGCGTTGACTGAGGATGAGATTTCAATTAGTTTATCTTAGGCTTTTATACAGATATGAGCCTTAAGCGCTGTATTTAGATGTCTATCCAAATTAAAAAAAAGATAATTTAATCATATTGGAGGGTCCTCAATTTAAGTTTGTGTTTGTTCCAGAAAAATCTATTTCAAATCGAATCTACTCAAATCGAGCTCCCATAGTATTTTATAATAAGATCTAGTCAACATCCAGACAACCTAGTTCAAGAGAACTGTGGGAAGAGAACTTATTTTTGATCATTAATGACATCGTTGTTATTGTTGAAATAACTTTAAGATCTCAAGTGACAGCAATTAATAAAAAGACTAAGAGTCAAGAATATAAAACTATCAAAAATCTTCCAGCAATATATTCGACTCGACAAGATTTCTATTAATTCTTAACCCACGTTAGATAAAAAGTTTCATTAAACTCCAAAGCAATAAAAAAAGCAGAATTGCAACATTCATTGGCCTTGTTGTAGTAAAAAAAGTAAATAAACAAAACTGTGTAAGGTTTACTAACTCAAAGGCTCATACTCAGAATTTGGGTTGTTAAAAATTGCTCATCACGGGAAAAAAAATCTTCAACTTTTCTTCATTTTCAACCCAAAATCTCCTCAACAATTTTTTTTTATCCTAAATAAATCATTTCATTCATTTTGAGTTGTAAAACCAACAGAAAAGCAGCATTTGTAAAAATTACCTTAAGCATAATCCTCAACAGACATAAAAAGGTGAAATTTAGTTTCCACGTGGTCACTTCCCAAATGTTTTTCATTATTTTTTTTGGATTTTTTCATGAAACTTTTTCTTTAAGAAAAGAGAGAAAAATCAACTTTATCTTCCAACGCCCTTTAAATCAGCATAAGAAGAAAGAAAATATATACGTAAGCATGGAGGAGAAGGCATGAAAGCTACACAAAACAACAGCACCGTGCAATGGCTAATATGCAAAAAGGCAAAAACTTTTACGTTTTCACAATTTAACAATGACGGAGCGAAGAAGAAGGAAAAATTAATGAAATTACCGCGGACGAAGATGAGTACGGAGTCGTTTAAAGTTTTCTTTTATGTGCTCTTTGTAATTTCTAACGTCGTTGTTCCTCGTACAACTTACTCATACCCCCGCAGGCATTTAGGAAATATATTTCAAAATTAAATGCCAGTGCGCTTACACACAATATAAAGTATACATACAACTAGATGCTCATATTTTTATTTTAGACCTTTGTGAAGATTCTTTTCGTGAATTTAAGTTGAAATTCTCTCTAAATCGATGTTGTAGAGTCTAAGGAAGGTTTTTAAGGTCCAAACTCTCATCGAATATATTTTCTAATTTTTATGGAATTTTTGAGAGACATACCCCCAAGCCCTCTTACTGAACATCTGCTAAAATCTAATCATCAATATTTCTTTGTTAAAATCTATTTATTTCATCATAAGGATCATAACGTGCAAAGTTTTGATAAACTTTTTAATTTTAATTCTTCTCATCTAGAGCATTCTTTTAAGCGCTTTAATTCCTATGAGTCATCATAGAAGAAGCATCAGCAGTCACCTTTCACACTTTTATTTCTTTATTTTCTATATCTACTTTGTAGACTGTCTTGTATTGAATTTAATTCTTGAGAAATTCTTGCACACTTTCAAGGATTTTTATTATCCAAGGAATTAAAAAGAATATGCAAGAGAAAATTGAATTTATGAGAAGAGTTAATTGAATTTTATTGAAATAGCTATTAAGCTAAGACGTCTACATGATCTACGCTTTATTAAGGTGAGAAATTTTTGCCGCATTTGATTAAAAGAGACTTGGACGATTTCTTAGAAATTATGACAATTTTTTTTGAAACATGAAGATAATAAAGGACAGTCCTCTGAAAATCCTGAATTAAGCTATAGTTAAGGAGAAAGATAATTCTTGAAATTCATAGAAATTTTTTAATCACAAAATTTAAAAAAAAATCGTACAAAACTTTTAAAATTATTAATTCGAGTGCACTTCCAACAAATGAAACTATAAACCAGTGATGGCAAACCTGTTTTCAAACTTTAATGTTGACCTAAATATTTTACTTATTTTGCTTGTTTTTCGGGAGGGAGGATTTCTAGCTACACCAAAGCTTAACATCTAAGTGAATAAGCACTAAGGCTCACCACATCCTTACTTACTTCGCTGCCCGTACAGATCAATTGGTGTGTGTGTGTGAAGCTGGCGTGAACAGGTTCTCAGATCAAGTTGAAACTTTGTCAGAATTACGTCCATATTACCTTCATTTACGTCCCGCATTTAAATATTTTCATCCTCCTTCTTATGACTGGATTCAACTTAATCTGAAAACCTGTTCCCGCGAGCTTCACACACACCAATTGGTGTGATCCATGGTTCTATCGCTGGCTACCGTTTGCCAATTATCCATACCAAATGCAATACTGTCTCTGTCAACAGTTTCTTTGCAAGAGGCTCACCACATAGTTATGAAAATTCAAAATTATTTCAAATTTGAAATTCAAAATAGCAAAGCAGTTGCTTAAAATATAGCTTTAATTTTAATTTGTGTTTCACGGTCCACAAGTTATTCATCACTGCAATAAATGATTCACAACTGCTTGCTGTTTGTTCATTGCACGTCAACTTTTTTTCTCTCTAAAATACAAACTGTATATCCATTCAGAAAAGGCAAAAAAAGAAGTTCTTATAAGACATCAGTTTAACAAAAAAAAGGCAAAAAAAGTATCTAAGAAAATCATTTGATGACAAAAGATATGAAATTGCAAAGTATCCAAGAAGATTCTTTCTTTTTGTCACAGCCATTAAGATACAACTTTTTTTCCGTCTACATGCTGTGAGAGATGTGTATGTTGTTTCATTCTCTATTAAATGCTGTACTTTGAGAGTAGAAAAAAAGGAAGAAAAAAAAATAAAATGAGTTTTGAGGAAAATATTAAATGTAGACAAAAATTCTGAGTAATTTCATATTGCAGTTAAAAAAGAAAAGATGTAGAGGAAAAAGAATGGAAATGTCAAAAGATTCAGAATGGAATTTAGAGGTTCCTGTTAAGGAACTGTGAAATGTTTAAATTATTATATGAAATATTTTAAACTAGACTTGTTAAACTCTTTTGAGCCTGGAAATGTATAAATAGAAAATTTTGATTTATTTTTTCACCAAATCGGGGACCCACCATAGTCATAGGCAATTTTCATTTGAATCCCAATGTGTTTATCAACTTTTGATTTTTAGGGTAGGGTTGCCAGAGGAAATCTTAATAACTGGCCCA